TTTTGATAATATATATTAATAATATTAATATTAATATTATGAAATTACAAATCAAATATTACTAAATACTAATAATCAAAATTAATAATAATTTAATAAGAAATAAATTTAATATTATCTTTAAAATATAAATATAAGTTTATATAATATAAATATATTAGAAGAAGATAATTAAAAATATATAATATTGATATAAATATAATTTTTTTAATAAAATACAAGAAAATTATTACTTTAATAACTATCTCAATTTAGTCACTAAAATATGAAAGAAAAAATAATAAAAAAGCAACACATATTTTTAAAAGAGTAACTAAATTATAATTAAGATATCTAATATAAAAAAAATATAAGTTATTATTTTTTAATGTTAGAATATTATATTATTTATTTAGTAATATTAAATATATAATTTTAACCTCTTATTTAAGTTACAGTACAATGTTCATTCATATATCAATTTAATATTTTGATTGATGCGTTTGAGGAATGGGGTATGAACCCCCATCACCAAAATTGACAATTTTATTTATTTATTTTTAAAATTTTTGTATCTCAGCTTGACCGTAATTACGATATTTGGGAGCCAAAATTACAATTAAGCATGTAATAAAATAATAACGTACTAATGAATAATAAAAAAATGTACTAATGAATATTTAAGTAGGTATAAACATGCATGACTTCGATTCGAGCATTTGGGAAGAAGTCTTGCCCAAGGTTAGAAATTAGTTTTCCGTAATTATATTATTCATTTGAATCTAATTACTCATATTTATTTAATGATTAATATTTATTAGTGTATATTCATTTAGAATATTATTGATAGAAAAAAATAATAAAAGAGGATGACACGGGATAAACTTGTAAAATTAACTACTAAGATAATGTAAAAAAAAGGAGAGAAAAAAAATGATAACATACATATTATTCATTAATTATTAGTTGTAAATCAACTATCATGTAAAGATAAAAATGCAAAACTCATGACTTGAATTACTCATGCATCAATAAGCATGATGTGAGTAGAATCGATTGTATATTGGCTGTCATGTAAAAACTAAAAAGTGAAAACATGTAATTTGAATTAATCATACATCGACAAGTACAAGGTGAGTAAAATCGATCATACACCAATTGTCATACAAAGATAAAAAGGTAAAGACATGATTTGAATTGGTCAGACACCAATTGCCACACAAAGCTATTAAAGATAGAGTACTATTGATATTGTCTAAAAAAGGTGCTAGGATTAATATGATATCGTCTATCCAGATTCTAGAGAGTGTTTTGTCCTAACTTTTACGTCTTTTAGGCTCATGATTGGTAGACAAGTATACTATGTTGAATATATTTTGACATGGACTCATCGAGTTAAGGAGATGAAGATAAGTAACAAATTGTCTCATTCTTAAATGGGTCAAATTCAAATAAATTTCATCGTCCAATAAATAACCAATTAAGCTAAGAATAAGTAGTTAATAAGATTAATCTCACCCCTCATACTTAGTGACTACTTAGTGACTAATCCATCATGCTTAAAAAAAGTCAAAATTAGTCTCACCTTGAATAATCTAGCCCGCCTGTTTAGTAATCAAAATTATGCATCGAGATATGATACACAATAATAAGTAACTATTTTACCAAATCTCAAATTCTTGGAGTTCATAAATTTATGATAGTCAAGTATAAAATCTTTAATCCTAGAATAAGGACAAACAAATTACATTTTTGAATGATGTGACTTTAAAAAAATGACTAAGTTAACCCTAATACATTTTTCAGAGTAGAACAATTAAAAAATTTAATTAAACATTTTTAATAAATTTTTTTCTCAATAATTTTTTTTATCCACAATATCAAAGCATGAGCGACAAATTAGTCAAAGTCCAAGACTTAAAAAATTAAAAATTCCAAGTCAAATTAGTATGAAACCATGACTGTTATATTTAGTCAGAATCTAAATTAATATTTTATGTCCAAAATCAATATTAAAACACAAGTGTCATCCAGTTTCCATTTTTATGGTTTAAATTCTTTGAACAATTTAAATTAGGATAATATAACCCAACAACTTATTAGCATGCATATGAGCTAACCGACAATGTTAGGAAGAAAAAAACGAACAATATATAATTTACTTTGATAGACTTTTCAATAAATCAAACGTGCATATATAAGCTTCTCTAATAAAAATTTTTAAAATAGGAACGAGGAACGACGTTTCATAAATATGCATAGGAGTTAATAAAATTGCAAAAGCTAGTTTAGACCATATTGTTTGATTAAAAAATCAGATATAATTAATGTTAGATACTAAAGAAAAGGTGGAAACTTGTATAATATCACAACAAACTAATTCCTCAAAATCAAATAAAATGAAATCGAAACTTCACAAGGTTTACAGTGTCGCAGGAGTGGAGAAAAATATTACCGTCACAATATATTTTCATATACAAATGAGTTAGTTTTGATATATTATCATTTTAAATATTTGTATATAATTAATTAAAAATATTTTAAATATAATTTTTACAATTTGTGTTTAGAGTTATTTCTACGATGAGAAACGAATTAAGGAGATAAAAAAGAAAACCACAAGATAAAAATGAATAATAGAGTACAGAAACATATAATGAAATGATATAGCGTAATTTTTTTTTTTTTAAATTGCACTAACCACTTTTAGGACCTTTTTAAATGATACATATTTTTTCTAACTTTTAAGTGAATCCTAACCTCCTTTATTTATTCATCTAAGTGACACATACAATCTTTTGTGTAAGATAATATTATTTTTGCATTGTTAAAAAAGAACAAATTATTAATGCATGTGTCAACAATTGAATATGAGACTTAATTTCATACTCATTTTAACTCTCAAATTATGTTTTAAATATCACGCATATTGTAATTTAAAAAATATAACAATTAAAGGAACAATTTCAAATAACGAATTGAGAAATTATTATTTTTAAATTGAAAAATAATAAAAAAAATTCATAAGAAATGAAACATTATTGTAGGTAACTCAAAAATGAATGGTACATGATTGATAGAATATTAAATAACTTTTTTATTTTATTTTTTTCACTTTAACTAATAGCGTTATTTTAAGGAAGATGAGTGATTTTTAAAAATTAAAAAAGAAATGCATGTCATATAAATAAATTTCAAGAGTTGTGAGCGTAATTTTTCTATTTTTTTATTATTAAAAATATTTTTCGTCGAATACAAAAACATTCTCTCTCGAAGAATTGAGGGCTTAACATGTACCAAATAGGTAGATATTCTCTTTTTCCTAGTTTGAGTTTTCTACATTCACAGGAATCAAAATTCAAGGATAAGGTGGTTGAGCCCTTCTTCTAGGGACAATGTTTCGACCATAATATCCATTAACATGATTAGGATTAACATATATATATATAAAATATTGTCTATTTTGATACTTGTCGAACCGTCACTATTTTGTTTTTAAAAAAAGTCTCGGTAGATTAAATGAAGAAGTTGTTTATATCCACCTCGATATGAAATTTTTAGACATATTGAAATAAAACGTATATTATTCATCATAAAAATTACAAACATATATACGTACTTTCTCTTTTTTGTTGTTTCTGCTTTCTTTTATTCTTTTTTCCCATCACATTTATTAATTTTCTTTTTTATTTCTTTTTCCTTATCTCTTTCTTCCCTATACTTCACGACAAACTGGGGATATATGATGATCAATATTTTCCAAAATATTAACCTCCAACTTATATTAGAATGAACTGGAACGAAGAAAAGAGAGAAAAAAAAAGAAGATAAAAATGATTGGTAATTTGCTAGGAAAAAAAGAGACAAAAAAAGAGTTTAATGGTCGTTATTATTGACCAATAAAAATTTATTATTTTAATATGATTTTTAAAATACTTACCTAATAGTCAACAAGTTTATTATACATTACTATATCACAGTTCACCGAAGGATAGCTTATTTTCACAATGTCGAAGATATATATCATTCTCACATGCATGTCTTAAAACTTTGAATAGGCTTATATAGAATAAAACGATACTCTATATCCATTATAATACTGCTTACAAATGTATCGTTGATCTTTGTTAGTTGCAACTTTGCATTCTACTAAAAATAACTCACATCTGGCTAGTGACACTAAATACGTAGTTTACATGATGAGTTACAGTAAATACATGTTCCAACTGCCAGAAATTGGAGTACCCTTGCTCTTTCATCGTGATATCTCTTCTCAGCTCCAGCTGAATCCATTCAAATCCAGTTGTTTACAACTCGTTCTAGTCTCATTATCTTCAGTGGTTAGGTCCAGTTTCGATGCAGCAAAGTATGAAGGCAATCCATAATCTTGAGAAACTTTCTCAGCCACTGGTTTTACTGATTCTGTCCTAATAGTGTTTCGTTGTTGGAATTCACCAATGAGTGTTTTCTCATGAAACATGTTGTTTCCATTCTCAGTTTCTTCTTCAAGTCCAATACTCATAGACAAGTTGCTAGGACTTCTTTCTGCATGCTTGTTCATAGGGGTAAGGAAGGTGGTCTTCTTCAGCGGATCACACCACTTGAGGTCAGTGTTTGGAGGGTTATTAAGATTGGGAGCCTCTATGACTTCCTTTCGTTCCATGAATGTGTGGACACTGAAGGGTCTTAAGCTCATGCCCCCATTTTGCATCTCTTGTTCCTTTTGTGTTCCTTCACAGGATGTGAGGCAACTGTCCATGGAACAGTCATTTGGCTGGTTTCTTTGGCGAGGGTTGAATCCTTGCAACTCCTTCAGCTCTGAAAATGCTGAATTCAGGCGCTGAGAGGACACTTTGGACACTAGCTCTGAGAGTTGAAGCTTGGCAGCTTCTAGTCCTACTACTCCCAAATTTTGTCTACCAAGTGTTTCCTGAGCTTTCTCCAGCACAGCTTGAAGGTATTTTCCTTGAGCCTCTATCCGGAGCTGCAGGAGTCTTTGCACCTGGATTGGTCAGATGGGTTTGTTAGAATTTATGAACACTTTTAGTGGTGTAATAAAGGAAGCTAGAAACATGAAGTATAAGTGACACGATTTAGATATAATTTTATAGGTACTTTTATTATTTTTTTCGATTAGAATTAGAGTTTCACATGGATAATTTGTATAATATAGATTGCGTTAAAAGTTCATATAGATTACTGAAGTGAAATGCGAACTTTAATTAGAAAATTCTATAAAAATATTTTAAGAAATTGTATATAAGTTTTGTTCGATGCAGAAACCATTATGTTATGTCAATTGTTTTCATGAGTGGGCTAATTGATAGGATAAGTTGGTTTAACACACCTCAAGTTGCTCATTTAGTCTTCTCTGCACCTCTATTTGCATCTGCAGTGCCTCACTTATGTGTAAATCTCTGCACAAGGGCAATTAATGTTAGCATGAAACCTTAAGTGATAGAAAGTAGGATGTTCATACTACAAGAAATCATGTGTGTAAACTGAAAAGTTTCTTACTTGTTGTTAGACTGAGGGGCAAGGTTTAAATTGTTCATATGAGTTCCATCGTTTTCTCTGGGTCTTTCATCTATTGCTGTACCTGGATTTATGGCTGAGAAACCATTTTGATGTTCAGAAACAAAACTTTGTGGTTCATTATTGATATTAGCCATAAAATTGAAGAGATTGTTCTCTTACTGATTTTGTGTGTCGCATTGTTACTTTGTCCATGCAGACTCTTGCTCAATCTGTACTTCTGGTGGCGAAAAGAAAAGGATCAGTAATTGCACTATATAAGATAAGGTCAGAAAGTTATGCTGGGTTCATAGCTTTGTATATGTTATATATGAAATTAACTTTCTTTGCTAACAATTTAGCAGCTCTATATGATGAATCAGAAACGAAAAATTATTGCAGCTATATAAAATATAATCTAGTTATTTCATCATAATTATACTCAAGTACTTTTGGGAATGTAATCGATTGTGTTGAAGAAGAATAAGATCATGTTTTGCATGTAACTTTCTCGATGTATAGCACGTTAAGATTCATATGATATGGAAGCATTAACATGAAGTATTACTCATATTATTGAGACAAAATTGCAAATATACTATTGGTAGGTTTTTTATGATCCCAGTAAACTTATTTGATCGAGCGTGGATGCACCCTTACTTTCTCATTTAGATGATTAAAATACTTTCACTTTTGGTAAAACCTATTGTTATATGGATTTTGAATGGCAAAAGCTATATTTGTTTAGCTGAGTACAACTCCCTCAACTTGAGAGTGAGACACCGAATAAATTCATCAGGCATGCAAGGAGTGTGAAATAATTTATGTACTAGAAATAGAAGGTGTAAGAGGACAGAAATATTGTAAATTTGTAATTAATATAAACATAATACAGAAAACTAATGATATTAACCTGAAGATGGCTCTTCAGATGATACAAGGTAAGTCCTGGAATCCCCATGAGTTTCATCACTGTTTTTGGAGTTGCCTCTGCAATATACAGTTTGCACATTGAATTAGTCAATTAGAAAAGTTCTATCCTCATAAGATTTGATGATCAACAAATGGATATGTATAAATATTATTATTATTATTATATACTCACTGTCAGCTCCACCTAACTGCTGCACAGCTTCTATAAACCTGGCATGAAGATCAGGTGTCCATTTCAATCTAGGCTTAGCATCAGTTGAGAGAACAAGTCCAGAATCACCAGACCCATTTCCTGTTTGAAGGAACATATGCCTCTCAGAAGGGATTGGCATTCTGGAAGAGCAATGAATGTTCTTTCCTTGATGTTGCTGATGAGTGTACATATATTCAACCTGCAAAAGCCATGCATAATTAACCAACATTACCATGAGTTCTTGACATTTTAAAAACAAACCAACATAATCATCTGATTTTGCATTCCTTTACCTGATAAGGCTTCAATTCTCTTGAGCTTTGATCACTTTGCTATACTATACCTATGAAAGGTGAATAATGCTCTAGTTTCAAGTATTATAAGACTTGATGGTAATATATATAAGTGAAGCTGTTGTGTCAACTTGTGGTGCTTTGTCTTGTTTCTCCAATGCACATTTAATTTCTCTTCAGTGCAAAGCCTGCTTAGAGAGGTAGTTATATATATGAGAACTAATAACACATGGAATCTTTAGGACAACCAATGGAAAACAGAATTTAATCCTTTATGCATGGTGACCTGACAAATAGACTGTTCCTACTTTTCTCCTCAATTGTGTTATGCTTGTGGACCCCTTCCTTAGTTCCACTTTCTATTCTAAGGCAGTGCAAAACATTCCATTTGCTTTCCTCTTTAGTATATAAATTAGAACAAATATATAAAGAGAGAGAGAGCATATAACTTAAGAAATTAGAGCAAATTTGGAACCAAATTTCAATAGAATAATTTGAATAAATGGTTATCATTGAAACTAAATAATTTTGGACATGTATATGATTGTATAACCAAGATTTATTCTTTTCACCACTCAACTTTCATTAGATATTGTCCTGTGTATAAAATAAACTTTTTTTTTCATTGCTTCTTACAACTGTCTTGGAATTTGATCAATATCTGTTAAACAAATTAAAATGTTGTAAAATTTATGCCCCCAAAAAATTAATAAGCAAATATCTAGTTCCTAACTGCATTAGGTTCGGGAATTGATCCTTGAAATTTTAACCAAATGTGCATTCTTATTCGCTTGCCTGGCAAAAGTGGGCATCATATTCCCAAATATGAAATAGGATTTTGTTTTTGTTTTATTTTTCCTGACTTGGTTCTGGGGAATCTTATATTCCTCTCGACTTGGAACTGCCAAAGCTCATCCATTATATCTTTAATTTGCTAAGTGGAAGATTCTTGCAAGTTAAAGGAGTAAATGTTCTTGTTCCTAAGTTTGGTCTTGTGATTGTGATCATTTTAGTCCTCAACGTGCATGCAACAATATTTTTAATAACATGATGGATGCATGATTTTGATGAATGTTATGTATGTTAAAAAGTACGCAGACATAAAAGCCAACAAGGAACTTATTAATTAGTTGTACATGAAATAAGAAGGATTAATTCCATATTGACTAGAGCACCTTGAAATAGAAGAAAAGGTTATTTGAAAAAACAGTTAAGATGCTTGCATGGGACTGTTTGGAGGTAACGAATAGAATAAGAATACGTTCTGTTTTGTCTCCATCCATAAGTTTGGAACTTATTCAGCCTCCACAGTCTGAAAAAATTGAAATAGGAGGAAGGTGGACCCTGAAATTTCATTCTTTCTTTGGCACAAAAATGCATGTCCCATCCTCTAGAATCCTAGGGAGGGACCTGATTAAAAGTGAAAGCAAGAATTGTACTTGCTTCTATACTTACATTTAGTTAAATGCAGCAGCATATATAGGACCACTCACCTTGCCCTTGACTTGTACCTTGGTTAATGAAGCAGATTCTTGTGCCAGCTTTTTTATTTTTCTCTATGGTTATAATTCTTATCCGTCTACAACTTTCACTTATTATGCATGCTCGTGAAGATAGAATATCATGTATTTAGACCTAAATGATGCACTATCAAAATGCTGTGGCAGAAAATGATTGATTGTTGGCCATGCAGTTCATGTTTATCATGTGATACATGTTAAATGTATTTACCCTGCATTTGACTCGGCATATTATACAATTCCCAAACTTGATTTTAGATGACTTTGATTTTACAAAATTGATTTTGGTTAGCTTTAACAGCTTTTAAATTAAGTTTATATATATAGTAAAACTTATAAACACACGAAAGTTATGTTTTTCACTTTTATTATACTAAAGTACTTTATGAGTAAAAGCAATTTACTTTGAAACAACCAAACACCAGTTTTATTTTTTCCTAGTTTGGTTGCCTCAAACTCGTGATTAAGACTTTTGAACGTCTATCAAACACATAGGCTAAAGTATTTAGGAAACATATATATAGTTCTCACTTTCTTAGCCTTGTAAATCTTATCATGAATGCATGAAATGCGTGTATCTATATATTCAATGTTATAAATTAGTGCCATTCCACTCAAACTATTGTATATATTCTATGTTGATCTCTGATTAATTTCTATAGGATGCATGGTAGATTTGGCCATATAGGAACTCTAACTGCATAGCATATACCAGGCTAATCCACTACGAAAAACATTAAAGAATGTGTTAGAATCTGATTCAGTTTTAATTAAAACCAGCCATTCCTCAGGCAATGCATGTGTAACTGCATGCAAATCTGCAATAATTAAATGGAAATACCAAATATGTAATTGTACAATAAGAATAAGTAGCGAAGTAGAAGTGAGATTAAATTAGAAATTAAACATTTCATAGATTAAAGCTAATGTGGAATATATTTTATATATACGTCATCAAAGACCGATCGGAGTCATGCACTAAACCACTTGTGATGAGACACACAAATAGAAGTAGAGGATTATTATTTATATATAATCCGTATCTGATATGGTGATACCCATTGATCATGCAAAATTAGACAAACATTTTCATGGACAAGCATAAAAATAAATAGACCAAAGATTCCTTGAACAGTATCTTCACATCACTTCTCCTTGTTCTTGTTCTCGATTCTGATTTTGGAGAATATTTAATGCAGGCAGGAGAATCTGTGAGCGACTTTGTATAAAGTAAAAGGTGAGTTCCTAAGTGGTTTGAAGCATGTGGATTGGAATAATATTGGCATGAGGACTGATACCGAATCTTCTCCCTTAGATGGACTTAATATTACCACTTGGCAAATTCTCCAAATCATGCATATATATCATCACAAACTTATCATTGCATTTACAGCTAAAAGAGAATTCATTTTCTGACCTTAGTTTATTGCTCGTATTAAAATAAACCTTGGATCCAATTCTTGCTGCATGATTATCATCAAGTTTTCAAATTAAAACTTGGAGTTTTAATATGTGGATTTTCTTTTTTAGAACTCTGCAATATATTTTTAATATATAGAGGTTAATTTGAGAATAATATTGTTCCGGCCAAAGGGTGGACTATGATTTTTTCCTAGATCGTGCCTTAGAGCCAGAGCATTCAAAAGTGTAATCTGTCTTCTCAACTCTAGGTTTTTTTTTATAGTTTCTTGTTTACGGGCTTTATGGGCCCCGAGAATGTAGGAATTTCCTTAACCGTTTTGATCTGGTTAATATTTGGTGAGGGACAGTGGGACCTTGCCCTTGCTATCGGGTAGTCCCTGTATGCGAGAGTTGTGTCGGCCCCCGACTGACCATACCCGTACTGAGGGTACAGTCGGGTATTAACCGAGTTGGTTCTTGTAAGCGGAAGGAATCGGAAATATACCGACCAGGTTAAGTAGAGAAACCAAGTCGAATAATAACCGAACCACTCTTAGAGGGGTGATCGGCGAGAGCTACAGTCGGCCTGGCATATCGGCGAGAGCTACAGTCGGCCTG